ACTAGCCAGTCATGGTGGCGCATGCCTGTAGTTCCAGCTACTTGGAAAGCTGAGGCAGAAGGATCGCCTGAGCCCAGCAGTGGAGGCTGCAGCGGCTGGAAGCATGCCACTGCCCTCCAACCTCCAGCCTGGGTGACAAGAGTGCACTCCAACTCAAAAAAAAAAAAAAGTTAAATTACAGTCGAGTCATCTGTTAACCATTTCTTTCCCTTATTAACAATCTTAGCAATTAAAACCTTCGCCCAAAGCTGAGTATAATGATGTGCACCTGTAGTTCCAGCTATTTCAGAGGCTGAGGTGGGAAGATCACTAGAGTACAGCTGTTCCAGTCCAGTCTGGGCAACACAGTGAGATCCCATCTCTTAAAAAAAAAAACAAAAACCTTCTCCCATGGGTACCATTTACTTCCTATTCCTAGCCCTTTAATTTTTTTCTTTTTCCCCCTTCTCTGGACCTTGTTAGTTTCTCCCAAGTCCTCATAAAAATATAGAAGTCAGAACTAAACAAATTAGTATATAACTCCCCACTGAATCTGCAAAAATCAGACTCTCAGGTGGTTCATAAACAAACTAAATCAGTGGGGGGGGATGACATATTTGTAATCTCCTGAGTAAATCACCATTTAAAAAATAACTCAACTTCCAATGATTAAATAGGTTGATACAGCTGCTAGTAAAAATCAAATACACTTACCTAATTCAGAAGAGAATTTCAGGTGGCCTTTTTCTGGGTCTTCATCATGACTATCTATCACATCACCAATTTTGTTTGCTTTGAACTGTGGCTCTAAGACTCGACTTGGACCTCGAGTGAAACGGGGATAGAATTTTTTTGGAAAAGGTCCATGGGGCCCAGACCCCTTGATGGGCACATTCTTAAGTGGTTGAGTCACTTCACTGAAGTTGAAATAAACAAAAAGCAAAACTGTCCAGGTCGCAGATGTAAAAAGGCACCCATAACAGAAATAGCGAACTGTGACACTTCCCATTATAGACTTAGCATAGCTGAAGAGCCATCTTCAATTTCCTAAAAGAGAAGGATAGATATGTTAGACACTTCAGTACACTTTTAAATCATCCATCAAATACATATTCATTGTTTTCCAAACCACCAGGCAAGACCACTATGCATGCAGTTAAACAGAGATTCAAATACAAGGAGTCATATGGATAGCACCACATTTTTTAAAAAGGGTTCAACAAGTTAAATCCGCAGCCCAGTGTGTTAATGCTCAGAAAATCAATGGCAGCAAATAGTTGACTTATTCATTTGTCTGTGTTAATGGATACTACTTCACCCTTTGCTCTGGATTGCTTTTAGTTTGGTAATATTTTTCATCAAACTAACTTTTCCTGAAGAAAATACAAGTACTACATTTAAAAGAACAACTAAAGTCCCTTCCAACTATGAAACTACAAGATTCTTTTTTTAACTCAAGAACTGTAAATTTGTTTTTAAAAAGATGCAACTCGAAAAAAATATTTCTACTTTCTGATCAAAGGTTATGCCTGCCCTAGTGCCTTCTCTAGATCTAACAGTTATTTTTAAATAAAGAGTTCAGATAATTCTGTTTTCCCTCTCCTTAAAATCCCCTATAAAACAAGAAGAATTAAACATAGCATTGAACAACAATTTTTTTCTAAGCTTTTTGATAATATCTAGTCTTCATGCAGGCTAATACAATTTCCTAAGGAAGTCATTCTAAAGAGTCCAATGCACATATAAAATAATCTCACCGAATAGACTTAGGGCAGAGAAACCCAATACAAGTAATGTACAAAATAAGAAAATTACAGAGATATTGCTTCTAAATTACTTATTTCTACAGTATAATTTAAAATATATTATCATCGCTCTCAAAAGATCCGAACAGAGCAAATCAGCATAAATAAGCCCCACTTTAAAAATTAAGTTGTCTTGGACAAGGTTCTGCCATAAGCCTAGATGGTAAATGGCTCAAGTTTTTAATTTTCAGCTAACTAAGAATTACTAGGCATTTCACCATAAGTCAATTTTAAAAAAAAGTAACATACCAAAAAAACACAAATACAACCAACCAAAAGCTCCCACCAACAGTAATACCAGAGGAGGTAGCTGGAAATGACTACGGTGCAAAGGAAAATCAGCCTCCAATGGAAGTGCTGCCATGTCAGCTGCAGGCAGTTTTAAAATTAAAGACACACGGCTGGGCTCAGTGGCTAACGCCTGTATGTAATCCCAGCACTTTGGGAGGCAGAGGTGAGAGGATTGCCAGAGCTCAGGATTTCGAGACCAGCCTCTACACTAAATCAAAAAAAATCAGTTGGGCATGGTGGCACATGCCTGTGGTTCCAGCTACCTGGAAGGCTGAGGCAGAAGGATCGCCTGAGCCCAGCAGGTCGAGGTTGGGGTGGCCAGGAGCGTGGCACTGTACTCTAGCCTGGGTGACGGAGTGAGACTCCGACTCAAAAAAAAAAAAAAAAAAAAATTAAGCCACACAGAAAACACAAACACTTTAGAAGTGGATGAAAATGTTCTCTAAGCAAAGTGAATGGCCATCGGGGCAAATGAAAGACAAAAGAGTTGCAACAAAAATGTACAGAGAAGTAACATGGAGGTGAAACAGTAAGCTTCAACTAAAACAGTCATTATAACTGCCAGAGTAAGCAAAGAACAACAACAAAAGCAGTTTTTCCTCAAAAGTGCATGAGACCTGAAGTTCAAGATAGCAACCAGACCGACTGCTCGGAATCCAGGAGGAACCAGGCACTAAGAAGCCAATCCTTCTTCAACTACTTAGCAAAATTTATGTTTACAGATGGTTTTTCTCAAACCCCTCCAGTCCTTCCCACTGTCACCTGGACTCCCTGGCCATCTACACAGAAGGGAACCATCCAAAACCGGCCATGGAGAGAGCCAGCCAATGCCTTCTCCAATCATAGGAAGCAAGGGCTGTTCCCTCAGCAGCTCTAAAGGGTGGATGCTCTGACATTCACATCCTGTCTTCTTCTTCAGCCCCACTCCCATCATCATGCTGGGCCATGTCCAGAATCCTTCAAAACCTGGCTTCAAAATGCAGTGATGAATGTCCCTTCTGCAATCTTCACCCACATTCCATATAGAGAACCCTGCGTAACCCAAGTCCATAATCATCTACCTCTTAGCACATCAATTAAGACCTCCTTCTCTGACCACAATCCTTACCCCAGCTGCATCTACTCCTACTCTTGTCTCATTACAGGTGAAGTCTAGGCACTCAACCCCTCCCCTTTTCTTACAGTTTAATTCTATTTCTGTCTCAGTTACACACCCCTTAATGGCTTTACTTCCTTCCCTACTCAGTATGGAATACTATGTTGGGTATAACATATTAGAAAGTGATAAGCACAAAGCAAGAAAAATAAAACAGGGAAGAGTAACAGAAGTAGAAGAGGTGTGTGAAGGAGAAGATGGAAGGTGTCACTGACAATGTGATACTTAAGTCAAGACCCAAATGAAATAAAGTAATGAGCACCACAAAAATCTGGGCAGGAGCAGTCCAGGACAGGGTAGACCATGAGCAAAGGCTCTCAAGAAACTGGCCAAGCAGACCAACGAGTTTGTGTTATGAAGACCACATGATGCAACCAAGACCAATCGCAAAGGGAAATCAGGCACCAAGTATGCAAAAACTGATGACAGTGAGATAACTAGAAAAGTCAGAAAATATACATACAAATGAAAATAATAGTTTTACATAAAACTAAATAGTGGAACTACTTTTTCAAAATCCATAGGATACAGCTAAAGTCAAATTTTATAGACTTCGATGCTTATATTAGAAAACAAGACCACAATCTATGAATTAACAAAACTATACCTAAATAAACCCAACAAAAGGTAAAAGAATAATTAAAATATTACTGGGGAATTAATAGAAAATGAAGATATAGCAAGACAACAAAAGCCAAAAGTTGGTTCTGTTTTGTTTTTGAGCCGGATTCTCACTCTGTCACCCAACTTGGAATACAGTAGCATGCTCATAGTCACTGCAGCTTTGACCTACTGGGCTCAGGTGATCCTTCCGCCTCAGCCTCCTAAGTAGCTAGAACCACAAATGTGCACCACTACATCTGACTAATTTTGAAAAATATTTTGTAGAAGTGGGATCTGGCTTTGTTGCACAGGCTGGCCTCCCAAAACATTGGGATTACAGGTATGAGCCACTGTGCCCAGCCTCATATCATAATTCTTCACAGATCATTTTTGATGTAGAGAATCATCATATTAAATTTTAAAACATATAAGAGAAATTTATAAGATTAGGTCATTTCTTTTATGTAATTAACTATAATCACGTTCAGAAACAACAAAGGCACTATTTGTTTTTAGACAGGTCAAGAAGTCAATAACCAAATATGAAGAAAGTGAAAAGCAATCAGATGTCTGTTATTTAATAAGTTTCTCAACTACATAAGAGAAGAAATCAAAACATCCAAACAAAAATCAAAAGCTACATTTTCTTTTTTTTTTTTTTTTTGAGTTGGAGTCTCACTCTGTCACCCAGGCTGGAGTGCAGTAGTATGCTCACAGCCACCACAGCCTCAACCTGCTGGGCTAATCTAATCTATACTAGCATGTAATGAATCCAGTATCCACACAGTAAAATCTTTTTCTTTCACATTGTTAGCTCTTCTTTCTACAGGCAATTGCTCATGGCTTTAATATCCAAGGCTGAAAGCCTTGAAAAAGAAGGTCAAAACAAATATGTAAGGTTAGTTAATGCAAAACAACTAGTGAATAAATTCTTTCAATCATAAACTTGAATCATAAACTGCCAAAACTTAACCAGTTAGATATCAACTAATATGTTTTCCATAGTTAAATGAATAAAAGGCTGACCAGTTGTGTACATAAATTTAAAGTGAGACAAGTCAGTGTGGTTTTATGTTTTTCTCCAGTCATGGTCGGACAGATGCTCAGGGATAGGTGTCTTGTAAGCCAAGAGTTGGGTTTTTGCCAGGGAGGTTCAATAGTACAAGAAGGGGGCAAGGAATATTCATTGGGATGATCATAATGGCAGACCATAGAATTTAGGCAAAGAGAGATGTGAAGATGTAGAAAAATGAGGTAGGATGAAAAATGTGGGCAGACCAATGACCAGAGGTCCTGGTGTGGCTAAGTTGTTCTGAAGTTGTTACCAGAATGTGTGCCTGAAAGACAAAATGCCACGGTTGGAAAATGAGACACTCAACATTGTGATTTTGGAGGGGGACAGTTAAAGAAAGTAGATCGTCCTTTACAGACATGTCACCTAGAGATATCACAATAAACAATGTGCCTATACTGTAAGCACTGCTATACTTGTAAACAATCCCCCTGTAGACAGGGATCATTTCCATCTTTGCAAACCCACGTTTAGTACAGTACCTACTATTAACAATTAATGAGGCTGGGCACAGTAACTCACTTCTGTAATCCCAGCACTTTGGGAGGCCGAGGCAGAAGGATGGCTTAAGGCCAGGAGTTCAAGACCAGCCTGGGCAACATAGCGAGACCCCGTCTCTACAAAAAGTAGAAACAGGGGACTTCAACACTTACTGACAGCAACAGACAGATCATCAATTAGAAAGTCAACAGAGAACCACTGGAGTTAAACAAGACTCTAGAGCAAATGGAACTAACAAACATCTATAGAACATTCCATCCCAAAACTACAGAAAATAAATTTTTCTCATCAGCACATGAAACATTCTCTACAAGATAGACCATAAGACAGGCCACAAATCAAGTCTCAATAAATTAAAAAAAAATCAAAACCCTATCAAACACCTTCTCAGACCACAGTGAAATACAACTAGAAATTAATTCAAAGAAGAACTTGTGAAACCAAACAAAAACATGGAAGTTAAACAATCTCCTGAATGATCATTGGATCAACAATGAAATCAAAATGGAAATTAGGAAAATTCCTTGAAACAAATGAAAACAATGAAACAAGTTATCAAAACCTCTGGGACACAGCCAGAGCTATGCTCAGGGGAAAATTTATAACACTCATGGCCTATATTAATAAGACTGGATGCTCACATATCAACAACCTAACATCATACTCAAGAAACTAGAAAAACACGAACAAATCAAACCCAAAGCTAGCAGAAGAAAAAAAATAATGAAGATTAGAGCAGAACTAAATGAAACTGAAGTTTAAAAAAACACCAAGAATTAATTAAACAAAAAATTGGTTCTTTGAAGATAAAATTGATAGACCACTAGCTACATTTATTAAGG